AAGCCTATCATAAAATACGCCCACATATGCACATRAAAACGTATGTAAGGCATGTATATGTCTGTGTTCATAAAATTTACATTTTTCCCATAAAAACCATATTGAATGAAATTCCTATCAACAGTTATTGGTCATAACTACAGGCATTACCTTGGCGCCGTTGGCCATAAACGTGACCGTTCAGCCCAATGGCAACTCAAAGGTAAAAAAATAACAAAACAAAAAAGAGAAAACAAAACAAAACCAAACATATAAATAACAACAAATTGCCATATTAAATATTAAAAACACAGAAGCCGGTGCATTTCAATTTCTGTTCATAAATAAATCGAAATTGAGCAAACTCCTGCATAATAATAAAAATAATAACAATAAATATAAATATTCATGTTTGCATTTGTGTGTGAGTGAGTGTGTGTGTGTGTAAATCATGCGCGTAGCGTTTTTAGTTGGAAATCAGCACTAATTTGTTTTTGTTATTGCGACAGTGACTTCATTTTTTGAGAAGACTTCTCTGTGTAAACATCAGTCAAATTGAAATTCGAAGCTTAAATGGACAGCAAGAAAAACAACAAAAACAACAGAAGCAATTAAATAACATTTATTGTAGTATTGTATGTGCATTTGTAAAAATTTCACATGAATTTGATTTGATTTGAAAGTATTTCATGCGCGCGCTAAATATATATGGTATTATTACGTGTGCGTGCTCATACGTGTGTACATATGTACGKTTCATCCATAGAAAAACTGTTATCATTATTTTCGGTTATAACGGCCACTAATCACTGCCTATTGTGATCTTTTCACGTATTTCCTTTTCGTTACAATTAAAAACTAACTGTTAATATTGAAAGGGGCGTTGATGGCAAAAATGGACGTCGAATGAAAGTTATATATGAAAGTTTTTAATAATTACTCTGTTACTTAATGATGAATAGATTTTATGAATAAAAGTTGAAAACTTACTTACTTACAACAACTTAATACTCAATAATTATAGAAAATAAAATGTAAGGTAATAATTTACCTAGTACCGTGATTAATAAAGTAGCCATGCTGTTTTTTAAGACAAAGTATTGATTGTATAGGAAGATCAACTATTTTCCATGTTTGTATTTGTTTTTTTTTTTTTTTTTTTTTTTTTTTTTTTTTTTTTTTTTTTTTTTTTTTTTTTTTTTT